TGTGGGTCATCATTTGAGCATGTGATAGTACTAAGATACAACTTTCAAAAAGGTAGAATCACGACTTTTGTGCAAATATGAAGTGAAATGTAACAAAGATTGTGTTCTAAGGAACCTGTATGATGTTTAGGCCAGTTTAAAAAGCTCTCGAGGAGTTAGGTATTTATAGGTAGTTTAATGTTAGGACAAGATTGATGGGTTAGTTACAAAACTGGTTAATGTCTTCCAGAACAGTAAACTATAACATTTGAGGTTATCTTTTTTGAAAGGACAGAAATTGTTTGTATCTCTATTGGACCAGGATCTGCAAGTTAACATGTTACTTCACCAAGTCTCGGAGCTGAGCAAAGTAAATTTCTCTAGATAATCCTATGGGGATGAGGAGACCCGGTGTCATGTTGCCTCCATATGGCATTGAAAGGATGTGCCACTCACCTTTCTGCCTTACATCTGAGTTTTAAATACTTTTCTGGGGGGCCGGGGGGACAGGATGGAGTGCAGTGCATGGTCATAGCTCACTGCAGCCTTAAACTGCTGAGCTCAAACTATCCTCCAGCCTCAGCCTCTCAAGTAAGCTGGAACTACAGGTGCATACTACCACACCTAGTTTGTTTTGTTTTGTTTTGTTTTCTTGTAGGGATGGGGGGTCTTACTATGTTGCACAGGCTGGTCTCGAGCCCCTGGCCTCAAGCAATCCCCCTGCCTCAGCCTCCCAGAGTGCTGGGATTACAGGAATGAGCCACCACATCTAATTATTTTTTTAACAATGGTAAATGCTTATTTCAACTTACTGCCTTTTAATGTTACATGCTGCTTACAACAGCCCTATTGAGACAAAGAAAGGGCAGGGATAATTCATTTTTCAGAGGAGGAAACTGAGTTACTCCATGAGGAAGAAGCTGAGCTGGAAGGAGAACCCCCATTTTCTAATTCCAAATCCCATGCTCATCCCTAAATTCCCGATTGCATTTTCTCTTTTACGTTCCTCTTCCTCTCAACCCTACATTGTTCTTGGTGACATTTTTTTCCCTCTAAGACTTCCCTTGAGATTCACCTGAAGGCAAATGCTTGAGAGTTGCCCCTGCTCCTTGCATCCCCAGGGGTCTCCTGGTCTGATCTAAGTCCTTTTAAGTCCCTGCCACCATTCAGTTTCACAATAATATCAGATGAACCACATCCTACTAACCCGAGCCAAATAAAATCGTCAAAACATTTCTTCCTCTTCTCGGGAGAAAGGACAGATCAGATGCTGCATTCCAAGAAACCTTTTTTTAAGTGATGGTTTCTTTTAAACTCTTCTATTCTCAGCTACTGTGAGACACTGTGCCGTCTTTCAAGAGACAGAGCCCACATCAGAAAAACCTACTGTTTATAAACCAGAGTATCTCACTTGGAACTGTGGCTGACTGATGTTTTCCCCTCCTCAGTAAACAAGATCGTTTTCTCTGTGTTGAAGATAGTGGGGTCTGTCTGGCTTCTGGATGAATGGCATGCAGTAGACAAATGACTATTTATTACATTAAACAGTCAGCCAGGAAACTAGCTGCAAGTGTGGCCTGATGACCTGAATCAATTTCTTCCTTGCAAGGCCATTTATTTTTCTCTCCCACATACTTCTGTTGCCATGGAAACCGTCCCACTAGCCAATGGAGACCAGGGCCAACTCTCTACTTCCCGAACCTCCATTTAGTTTAGCGTTCTTGCCCAACTAGGCCAGACTGCCTGCGTCTTCATTTGCCTGACTGCATGGGGCTTTCTTTGTGCTTGTTGAGATTTTAACGTCGATTCTCTTCAGGTGATGGGTAGCAGAGCACCGCAAGGGCAAAGGGCTAGGGATGGCCTCGCTTAATGAATTTATCATTAAGTATGGGACATGTGTGAGCTTATTTTGTTTTTACATTTTGTAGGAAAACCTAGTCAGAGAGGCAACTCTTTTTACATGTCATAAAAGTAGGGAATAAGAAAGTACAGAGGATGTGTATTTAGAAAAAAATAGTTCCTCTGAAGTCCCCTAGCATTTTGAAGCTAGAAAAAAAAATGCGTTGAGAACATCTAATTCAGGGTCTCTCAAACTTTTTTTCACAAGATGTAATTAATGACAACAACGACAAAGAACGCTCAGTGCCTAATAAGTGTGTGCCAAGCCCTTTTCAGGCAGCATCCCATTTAACCTCTTGGTAACCCTGCAAGGCAGGTTGCATTCTTGTTATCCCCATGACGCAGGTCAGGGTCAGGAGCCTGGAACTCAACAAGCCTACTTGCCCAAGTACAGCAGAGGAAAGGGGGAAAACTGGCACTAAAACCCAGGACTAAAGCCTGGGTCTCCAAACCCAAAACATCTGCTTGCTCTCTACCTCACTTCTTGCTTCTAGCGTAGGCTGGCCTGTTAAAGGCTTGGGAGCCTCTACACATCCAGTGCCTGCCATTTGTATTTGATCAGGTAATTCCCTCTCCCACTCCCAACCAGGAACCACTTTGTAACATCTCACCAAGTGAGGATCCTGCAGAACAGAATGTGGGCAACCCCAGTGCAGGCGAGTTCCTTATTTTTCAGAGGAGATGCTTTAGGCTGGGCAAGGAAATGACTCGTCTCCAGTTACACAGCTAATAAATGCCAGAGTTGGCACCCAAAGGCCAGACCCCTGCATCACCAGCCAGTGCTCTGCTCTGCCCTGCTATGCTACCTACGTCACTATTTCTAAATCAAACTCTGAGTTTGCAAGCAAATTGCAGCTCCACTCTCCAAGCCAAGCATCAGAACTAATCCCCTTGTAGAATGAGGGTTAAATCAGCCTCTCATTAGAAGAACAATAAAGCTGAAGTGTGCAGGGTGCTTTGCCACTTGGAAATGCTTCCACCTACCTCTCCAGTTTCCAGCCCTCTGAGTATATCTGAAATGGTCCAACAATGAAGCCTTATTCACAAGTTGTATATCTCCCAAAATAAACTTTGAATGCCTCCAATTTTAAGTGTGTAAAGATCACTGCATTTCAACTAGGAGAACTGAAGGTGTCAAGAAGGAGAGGTGGAAATGAGCAAGGTTATATGCCAGTGGCTTTAGGGAGCAAAGTCCTGTCTGTGAATGAAAGCTCCCCAGCTTAGGAGAATGAGTTAGCAGTGGGTGTTGTCTCAATTTTCACTTTTCACATGACTCTAGCATTGAATAGGCCTAAATGTAAACATGCTTCCCTCCACACTCCACATATGTGCAACATGGCTCTCACTCCCTGAAGCTGTAAATATGTACTGAACAAAATGACAGAGTGTGTGGGGACATGGTGTAAACAGCAGTGACCAAATAGAAGGCAGGGAGGGAGGCATTATTTTAGGAAGATTTGGTACAGAAGAGAAGTATTGTGAAGGACAGTTGTCTCTTTCCATATGTCTGAATTCTACCACTGGCAATGAGGATGGCTTCACAAGTTTCACTGCTTGTTTTTTTTTTCCCCCTCTTAAATGCCAGGAGAGTACACTAGTAGCATCCAAAGGACATGCTCAGATTGTATACCCTACTCATACCTTTTTTACCTTGCACATTTTCTTCCTTCTGCTAGGCGTCTCCTTCCCCTTTTCTGTCTGTCCATCTTGCACAGCCCAAATCCAAAGTCACTTCCTCTAAGAAGAAGTAATCTGCTCTAATAAACTCATATTTCCCATATGAGTTTATTAGCACCTGCCTTTGTGCTTCTAAAATCTGTGGCAAAATAAGAACAGTTACCCTTTCTAGTGCCTAATGTGGTCCTGTATGTTACATATATTATCTCTGTACCCATTTGGCAGGTAAGGAAACTGAGGCTCAGTATGTCCAAGGCCATGCAGCCAATAAGTTGAAAAGCTCAATTTGGAATCCAAGTCTCTCAAACTCCAAAATCCGTGCCTTTTTTACTACACAACAGGCAGCTTCCTTTACCTCAGACTTGCCCCTTACAGGAGCAGGAGATGAATGTGTTTTTCTCTCCATATCCGCCTAGCTAACCGTGAGTTCCACTAGGGCACACCTGAGTCTTATATTGTATTCCTGTGTCTGGTACATAGTAGATGCTAAATAAATGGTATGTTTGTTGGATAAGAAGCTTATCCCTTTACATTACTAGTTGATTGAGCCCTGCTTCTGGTGAAATCATAATAAAGTACATCCCTGTACCAAGTCGTCCCCACCCCAACCCCAGTGGAGAGCTGGGTAAGTTTCTCAGTCAGCAGATCCATATTACTAACCCACTTCTTCTCCAATGTTAATGTAATGAAGATCTCCTGGGAATTTTGTTAAGGTACAGATTCTGATTCAAACCGGCTGGAGTGGGGTCTAATGGTCTGTATTTCTGGCAAGCTCCCAGGTGATGCTTCTGGTTCGAAGATGCCATTTGGGTCTAAACACCTCAGCAGCAGGAGCCAATGCACTTTTGGTACCTTTGGCTGGTAACAAGTAATAAAACCTGTCTCATGCATTGTTCTCCTTCCAAAGGACATTTTAAGTGTTCATGTGATTTTTCAATGTTTTAGCAAAATATTTAAGTTATGCTTGGAGCTATAAACATTTGGCAGCATGCACGTTTGTTTGTGCCTGTAGCTTTGGTTTAATCACATTCTATCAATAAATCACAAATAAATGAGGGAGAGGAGACACTCATTGGAGATTCCATTCCAGTGACAAGTGAGAGTGGGTGAGGGTGGGGGATGGAACAGATAGATGGTCACTCACAGCAGGGCGTTTCCAACCAGTCTTGCTGTTTTGAAACAGCACTGGAGGCTGGGAAAGAACCCCCATTGCATTCTTATTGGGAAGAGCCCCACCCTTCCACACTTGCCTACCCTCTGGCCCCATTCCATGTTCCCGTTTGGTCTTCTCAGTTCCTGGTAAACAGTTTGTGATGGCTTATTGATCTCAAGCCCTTTGAACCCAACACAGTCCCTTTGCCAGCATGCCAAGTCTTTTAGAGGTCAAGCATCTCCGGTCCAAGATGTTTGGAAGGAAAACACCCTCTTTTCTGTTCCTTTTCCAGATGTCCCTGGGCCAGCTGCAGTCAGCAAGAGGTGTGGCATGTTTGGGATGCAAGGGGACATGTTCGGGCTTCGAGCCACATTCATGGAGGTAACAGATCTTGTCAGGAGGGTCCCTATCTGCCTTTGTTACTTGGCTGTCCTCTCGGGGAACCCTGGTTGCTTTCTTCACTGAGACTGCTTTGGTTGTATGCGTTGTCAGGGAAGGATGGCTGCAGAGGGAAGGCACTCCTGCTTGGTCCAATTCAGAAACATGAAAAAAGTCCTTGGGGGAGGGTGGCAGAGGGAGTAAAGATGTGAAAAAGGAGTTTAGCGCTTCCTAAACCATTTCAAGGTAGAGTCCACCAAGCCCAGCCCAGCAAGAACTGCTCTGGAAAGACCCAGGCAGAGATTAGCTGGTCCCTTGTGCATTTGGGGTATGCCTTAAGGTTTGGTGGATGGGATTGATCTCCCCGCACTGCACTAACATCGCTGTTGATGGGTTTTGGTCTAGAGTGACCCCTGGGACAGAAAGAGAGGTCATTCTGTCCACAGTACTTAAAAACCAGGACCTGGTATTCATATCCGCACGGGAGGACCATAAGATCCAGCTGGAGTTGGATTTGCAGATGTTTTCTTTCTTTTTTTCCACTGATGATTCTGAGGACAAGAGTGAGGCTGCCACACTGCACAGTCCCTGGGCAGCACTCATGTCAGCATGTATGTGGACAGCACCTCTAGAGTTGTGCAGGGAATAGACTGTGAGACTGTCCCTGCAGCCTTGGGAGAGGAAAGTTAAGTTCTGTGGAGCACATAGCAAAGAAAGAGTTTTTATCATCACTGCTGTAGTGTTGCCTTGGGCCCTCAGTGGGGGAACAAAGTTTGGAAGGTGTTTTCGCAGCAGTACTGACTTCCATTATGAGATGGGAATTATAAAAATAACTACTTACTCATGAACCGAATGAAATCTTTTTTATTTAAATGTTGAAATAAACCAAAGCGGTAGGTATTAGGTATCTCCATTTCGTTGATCAGGACACTGAAGGCAGGCAATGGGGTGACAACTACCAAACGGCAGGATTTGAACTCAGATCTGCGTGAATCCCAATCCCATGCTCCTAACCGTTCTGCAGTACACTGGGCTATGAGCTTTCAGAGCAGAACTGTGTTCCCTGACTCCATTCCCTGACAGTTCCCAACCTCAGAGGAGCTCGCATCGTCTTCTGGTTGCTAGGGACCTTCAAGGTCATGTAACTCAGGCTTCTATCCCCTGCAAAAAATCCATCTATAATTTAAACACTCCTAGGAGGATTTCTCCGCATTTCTGTTTTGGCCATTTGAGCTCTTTCCGGCCTGGAAAAGTCAACTTCCTTATCATTTCAACCCCACTGGTCCTGAATCTTCCCTTAGAATTTCAGAACAGCGTGGATTCCTCCTCAGCAATTTGAAGACAGCTAGGATGTCTCCTTTTAGACTTTTTGAGTCAGGAGAAAATGTTATCTAAATGCACCCACCGAGTCAATTAAATCGGTTTCCCCTTCTCTCAAGGATCACAATCCTGTGCTGCCTGCTGTCAAACATCTGAAAATGGTCGTTTGGTAGATTTTTTTCTGGTTTTCCAGTTGTTTAGGAAGAGAGGACAATTCTGGACCCTGTTTCTCATGGCTACAAGCAGAAGTCTCTTAGTATTGTTTTAATCCTTCCATTTCCTTGTCGTCGTACAAATGATTTGAACATCAAGTGAAGAAATACAGATTGAAGCTTATAGGTCCTGCATATCAAGTGTCCTTGGTTTGAAGAATCCAAATAGGGACTTGGTTTGAAGAATTCAAATAGGGACTTAAATTAGACTCAAATTGAAGCAGTAACATCACGGAAGCTTAGGAGGGAAATCCTGTTAAACTTTTTAAAACTCTCAATTGTTTGAAAGACCTTTAAATGACCAAAGTGCCAGCCAACCTGGTTTAATAGGAAAGTCCATCAACTAATCGTCACAGGACAGAATTCAGTCTCAGGTTACCAATGACAGATTGCAGAAATGACCGTTTTAATACCGTTGAGGATATTCTGGGGTGTGCCTGTGTCTTCTACAATCTGGGCACCTGGAAAGAGTGGGATGGGGTGAGAGGGGTGTATCCCTCATGTATAAAGTCCCAGAAATGTGCCTGGCCACATGAAGAGTGTGAATAAAAGGGGAAATTGTGTCGACACAGTTTCAAAGAACATCTCAGATCTGTTAACTTTTTTTTTTGTTTTGAAATGTTTTGCATTCCCAGCCTCTCTAATTAGCATCCTGAAATTCCACATTAACCGAAAAAGCTATGGGCAGCCTCCTCATCTAGTTCTATTTATGGAAATTATTGGGGAGGTCAGAAGGTCAGATGGGACACTGAAGAGTCAGGTTCCTCCGTGTCCCTCCATGCCAGGATTTCCTTCACTTTCTGCCTCTTCCTCCTCCTTCCACTTCTAGCCCTGCTGTTCTCACTCCCCACCTGTCAACCCCTGATACTGCCTAGTGCCTGACTTCTTAAAGAAGCAGGTTCCTCGTGCCTGGCTCTGAAAAGGGATAAGCAAGAGAATATTACTGATTGTGAATAAAATGCAAAACAAAACCACCCATTTTTATTTTTATTTATTTAATTTTTTTTGAGAGGGAAAACCTCATTTATTCCCTGCAGCACCCTTAGGGTCATTTTCTCTTTTTTGCTGCTGGAATGCATCCTTGAGATTGTCAGTTTTAACATTTCTCAAATTGCAGCCCACTGAATGTGAACTTGTACTGCAAGCTTCTCCAGTAGCATTCAAAATGTCATGCTGCACATCACCGTATCAAAGTCAAGGAGTAGCTTTGCACTAAAGAGAGGTGTTTAACCTCCCTTAGCCCACTGTTTTCCAAACTCATGACCACTAAGCACCAAGCCTTTTTCTATGTACCACATAATAATCTCCCAAAGAACTGGCCTAGGCCAGTAGAACTACCCCCAGATTATAGGCAACTCTCTTCTGCCCCGAACATATTGTACTTTATATAGTTTCCATCTGATTGTCTCTCCCTCCCCCATCCCAACTGTAAGCTCCTTAAAGGTCACAACAAGGCCTTCTTTTCATATTCAGTGAGGGGTTCCCAGTCTCTTAGCACAATTGACATTTTGGGCCTCATAACTCTTTGTTGTTGGAGCTGTTCTGTGGAATGTAGAATGTTTAGCAGCATCCCTGGCCTCTACCCACCAGACACCAATAGCACTCCCCTACCCCACTGGGACAATTGAAAATGTCTTCAGACATTGCTAATTCTGTCCTGAGGGACAGAATTGACCTTAGTTGAGCACCATTAATGCAGACCATCAAGGTATGCCCCCACTAGCCCCACAATCAACATTTGTGATATTCGATCAGACGTATTTACTTCCTGAGTATAGGAGGGAAAAGGAGGGTTCCCTCAGCTTTGTCGATCATTCAGCTGCAGTGACTTCCCTTGCTGGGCCTACCTCATCCCTGCAGTTGGCCTTGACATTGCTCACTTTACTTAACAAGCTCTCAAGTTGCATGCAGAAGAGCATCTGAGAGCCAGCACAGCCTGCCCATGGTGACAGGCTGGAAAGGGAGGGGAGCAATTTTCCTCTCACGCCATGGAACTCTGGATTTCTAAACCTTAACAGCATGACACCAAGTAGCCACACATTTTTTTTTATTATCAAAGAGAAGCATGAGGCTTTTTAGTAAACCTGAACCCTCCCCAGGATGTGTTTCCTTCTCCTTACAAAGCCTTCCCAACAAACATCCATCTCCCCAGCCAGAGGGATTTTCTCAGCTCTGTCCCTGCTGGGTCCTGTTCACAAATTTCTTGAAGAAAATGTTTACTGCATTCTAACGTCAGTATTTATGCTAAAGAGTTTAAAAGGTGCTGAAGCTCCAAGGCTATGATCTTGGGAAACAATTTTAATAATTCTTTAGAGCAGGAGTTAGCAAACTTTTTTTGTAAAGGGCCAGAAAGTAAGTACATATTTTAGGCTTTGTGAGCCAGGCGCTCTCTGTTGTAACTACTAACTCTGCTGTTGTTGCCCCGGATCAACCACCGACAATATGTAAATGAATGGGAATGGCTATATTCCAATAAAACTTTATTTACAAGAGCAGATTGTGGGCCAGGTTTAGGCTATGGGCCACACAGACTCCAGCCCAGCTTTAGAGCATCTCTGATGAACAAATCGGACTTTGCCGTGGCAACCAGCAGGAGTGAAAACATGCCACTCTTTTTACCAGCGAAAGTTGTATCCTACATTCCTCACTGATAGATTAATATAAACACTGTCATTTCCCAAATGCAAATCCCAATTCCAAAGGCCTTTTAGTCTCAGGTTACCATTTGTCTGCTGCTAACCTTTCCAACTTAAAGTTTTAGCTTGCTTTTAAAAGAGTAGATGCTGCTTGCTAGCAAAAGAATCTGCCTCTTCTTTCTGGAAGTTAATCTCACTCATCTCCATCCACCCACCCCCAGGAAAATATGCAAGTCTTGCAAATGCAGCCAA